AAATTATACAATTCAATGCAAAATAAAAAATTACATATATAGTTAAAAAGTTGATTGATAAGTCGAAAAACAGGGTCACCAAACGACTCTAAATTTACGTAATAGCAACTACTAAAAATAATTGAGTACAAGTGTAATATTGTAATATTGTATAATGTCAAGTTTCCTTCACAACTTCAAATGTAATATCGTAATCCCTCTGTTTTTACCTTATTTTGTCAAAAAAAAATGGAAAAACATTGATAGAGAACATTAGAGTACAGATCTAGAGAGAAGTGAGAGCTATGGAGAGAAAGTGATAGTTTTCTGAACCCCTACAACTACCCCAAAAGGAGTATTTATAGAGGAAATGTGGGTTTGACCAGGATTTAGGCCCGGTACAACAAAAGGCCTCTAGTGAACTAATTTCATGATTTCCAGAGCTAAGTATAAAAAGTAGTTTACAGGAGCTATGTTGGCCGAAGAGGTGCCATGCCGAGGGAGGGCCTGGCCAATGGAGGACCAGTTTTCTTCTCCGGGGCCTCTGAGTTATTTTCTGTGAGCCGATGGGTTTGGGCCGTTTGGCCGACGGGCGACAGATGGCCATGTGAGTGTCACTTTGTCCCTATATAAGTTTTTTGAGCATGTGGGTCATGGGATCCAGACCCATATACTCTATCACACACTATACGAAATCACCTCCAAAAAGCTTTCTTTATTTTGTCAATCACTCACTTTCACAGACAATGTACAATTTGTGTACATATTTTGTGTACACAAAAAATTACTCGATACTACCTCCGTAACATTGGGATGTTCCCATTTGAAAAGTAGATAGATTAAGAATAGTAAAAGGAGATATGTATTATTAAGGGTATGATGGGAAGATAGTGAAATAATGTGATGGAATGAAGGATAAATCCAAAAAAAAGTAGGTGTAATAGTGTATTATTTTTAAAATTATTGAGGGTATGATGAGAAGATTTAGAAATGAGAAGATATTAGTGTTACGTCCTAAAAAGGAAAGTGAGAAGATATTTACGTTACGGATGTAGTATAATTTAGTACTCCAAATTAATAAGTCCAAATAGAACTGAAACAATGGTATAATTTTCATTTAGCAATCATTCATTCATTCCCTGATGGATTTCAAATCAAATTAAACTGAGAATCAATAACCATCGAATCAAAACTGATATGTTCATCTAACTTTAGAGCTCTAGTGGTGTTAGCAGGGGATATCGGAAGATTCATATCCAATTTGATTCTGCATTGGTTGTCAGCTTCATCTTCAAACCCCAAAAATAAAGAATTGTAATCAGCAGTAGATTTATTGAGTAGATATAAGTATATTCTTGCTAATGCAGCAGAAAAGTCGACTTTACACATTGCAGAGAACTGGGACTCCAATCAACTAATTTATGTCTTTTTCGTGATATAATTGGGTTTAGATGTGCTATTTTCTGGTCATCAATCTTGGTGTTGATCTTGATCCAAGACCACAAAACGGATTAAATTTTCAGTAAAGTAATCCCCAATTTTTATTTTTCATGTATTGACGTTTGATGAGTATTAATGAAGTTATTTGATTCTTAAGAAAGTAACAGGGAGAGTGTTTTGTTCAAGTTGGATGATAGAATTGCACAATCAAATCTCAGATCTTAATATTGGTGTGCCACTATGGATGTGGTCAAATTTCTTGTAAGTGGTAAACTTGTAATAAAAGACTAAATAGGACTAAAAGAGTTAAAAAATTCCAAAATAGGACTACCATGTTTTTATTCCCAAAATAGGACTAATTACTGTCATGTTTTGGCAGTACCAGACTTCAAACATGGTAGTATTTTCCAAACTTGGCAGTAATTACTCCTATTTTGGGAATAAAAACATGACAGTCCTATTTTGGAATTTCCAAACTTTTTTAGTCCTATTTCGGGAACTTTCCCAAAAAAAGTACTTCAAAAACATTATATGCCTAGACTTCAAATAGGTAAAGGCATGATAGGATAATGAAGGGTTTAATGCACCAAACCCCTCGTGATATGTAAATTCAACGCATTAGTCTCTGAAAAATGCGTCAAACCCCCTTGTGTTTTAATTAATCATGCACAGAACCCCTTTTATGAAGAAATTTAACAATTAGGAAATCACTTTTCCTAAGTAATCTGATTGAATATGAAAGTAAATATCTCAAAATCTCTAAATCATACAAAAATGTTAATCATTTTTCTTTCATTTGACAATTTAATATGTTCAATGAAGGGATTTTGCGCATAATTAATTAAAACACAAGGGAGTTTGACGCATTAAATCACAGGGGGGCAATACGCCGAATTTTCATATCACGAGGGGGTTTGGTGCATTAAACCCAAATAATGAAGGAGCATGATGACTACAAGTGTACAACTAGAACTAAATTGTAAATAGCTAGAATTGAAGAAATAAAAGACTTGGATACTGGAAGCAATATTTGCAGCAGATACAAAAACATGGATAATGTAAGTGGTGTTGCTACTTGCTACAGAAATAGAGATTAGAGAAGGTGATCGGACTCAGAAACACAATCAAAGAAGACTTCGTAATTCGTATAGTGAATATTTGAATGTCATTTGAAGAAGTGCTTTAGATAGACATAACGAATTCAAACCGTGAACTGAAGAAGAAAGCCAATACATAGTGTTTTTTTCCATAAAAGTAGAAAATTCAAACTCTGAATCGAACCAACAAGGAAGAATGCAAATAGACTTGCAAAACAGAATAGGAACTAGAGGAATAACCCAGTTGGGTAAGGATCGGGATGAATAATGGAAAGAACGGTGTTTATTATTGCAAAGGAGAAACGAAGAGATTATTTTGACAACATCACATCTCTTGGTGGCATACCATTGTTTTTAGCATATGATTGAAAAATCAGTGAAGTGGACAACCAACAGTTTGGTGGTGCCTTAGGAATTAGGATGCATTGTGGTGTAGACTTGTAGTGAAATTAGTGAAGTGGACAAAGTTATGGAGATTAACTGAAACCAAGGTTGTCAAAAGCGCTCGCTTCTGCGCTTAAGCGCACAAGGCGCAGCGAGCTACACCCCTAGCGCCTGAGAAAGGTAGAAGCGCACAACCCTGGGCAAGGCGCAGCCTAAGCGCTAGAAGCGCATGAAGCGCGGAAGCGCTATAGGAGCGCGCCTGCGTCGCCTGAGACGGAAAAGGCTGACAACCCTTTTTTGGTTTAAAACTTTGAAAAACAATTAGCCCATATCCTTAATAGTCCTCGGCCCATGAAAACAATAGGGTAAAGAAAGTTAAACCTACGTAAAACTAAGACTGTAAGTACGTAAAAACGTAAACTTGCGCAACACACTACAAAGCTTAATCGCTAGCCATCCTCTTCACTCTCGCTTTCCTCACTTGACACTCAAACTGCACATAAGTATCATAGTACTCTGCTTTGTGATTTTTTAGTATATTAGTATGCATATAATACTCATAGTATTCTGCTTTTTTATTCTTTAGTATATTACTATGTACTCCCTCCGTCCCGAAAAGGTTGGCCAAAGTTGGCTTTCACGTGGATTAATAATGTAAAAACTGTGTGGTTGAAATTTGTGTAGAGGAGAGAGAATTAATTTTAGCCACATATTCCTTACTTTAAATGGAAATGACAAACCCTTTTGGGACATCCAAAAAAGGAAATTTGACCAACCTTTTCGGGACGGAGGGAGGGAGTATATAATACTCACCCTCATAGTACTCTCTTTGTAATATACATATATAGTACTCTACATTGTATATAATACTAATATACATACTAAAGATATATGTTCTTATATGTTCTTAACTTGAAATATATTACTTTAATATATGTAGTTATGTACTAAAGATATATGTTCTTAACTTTAAATATATTAAAGTTATATGTACCTAATGTACTAAAGATATATGTTCTTAACTTTAAATATATTAAAGTCATATGTACTAAAGATGTATGTTCTCAACTTTATACATCAAACTGATTCCATATAGCAACTTTATGTATCAATTAACCAACTTATTCCATTATATATGTAGTAAAGATATATATCTTAACTTTATATGTACTAAAGATATATGTTTTTTTAATATATGTTTATTTATGGTTTCCCGTGGATTAACTAATTCCAGCTTTGATCTTTTAGTTTTAGTATTAAAGCCATGAATTCTAAATTTGGACTTCTATTTTTGTGAATCATGACTTTATTTTGGTGAATCCTAGCTTTTTTTATGCATTTGGTTCAATATGATGTTACATACATCATATTTGGTAATTATAGAATAGTATATGTGACTTTATATAAGTAATGCGCTTCACCCGAGTCAGGCGAGCGCTTTTTTGCGCTTTGCGCCTCAGGCGCTAGAAGACTCCTAGCGCTTCAGGTGCGCCTTACGACTTTGACAACCTTGACTGAAACCACAAATTCTTTACTTAAAAGTGAAAATGACAAAGTTAGTGTAGGGCTGGACTCGGGCCGGTTCGGGCCTGGGCCCGGCCGGGCCTCGAGCCAGAAAACTGTGGCCCGAGCCCGAACCGCCAGTGGCCGGTTCCGGTTCCGGGCCAAACCGGGCCGGGCCGGGCCAAACCGGTCCTTTTTTTTTTTGTTCTCCTATTTAACCCCCTATCCCTCCCCCTCAACCCCAAACCACCCCAAATCACCTCAAATGGCCCAAAATACCTAATCCAACCCAAAACTTAAAAAAATTTCAAAAAAAAAATAAAAAAATTAAAATCCGGCCCGGACCGGGCCCGAACTGGCCGGGCCGGTTCGCCTAAAGCAGGGCCCGAGCCCGGACCGCCCATCACCCGGGCCAGGCCAAACCGAACTACTGGACCCACCGGGCCCCGGGCCCCGGGCCGGGCCGGCCAAACAGTAACCGGGCCGGGCCGGTTCCAGGTCGGGCCGCCCGGCCCGAGTCCAGCCCTAAGTTAGTGGAACAACCAAAAAAGGAAAGTTGGCAAAATTTTAAGGGACGAAGGCAGTATTCTCAGAAACGTGTATGTAGCCTTTAAATGTTTCTTTAATTTCAACCATTTCCTTTAAAAAGTTTAACCTGTGCACAACTGTTTTCCCCACTTATCAGCCGATTCAACTATGGCAGTGAAATGAATTGAGTTTGGTGAAAAATCTGGCACATAAGTTGAAATGTAGTGTGCCAAACAGGCTAGTACACCGACATATGAAAAAGAGAGATCTTAACTGAGCAGAGAATGCAGATTAGATACAGAAAAGGTGAGCAAAATCAACAAAAGAAACAGACGATTGCAGTTACCTACAAGAAATAGCACACAAGCCAGCCAGAATAAAAATAAGAGGATCAAGCTCGTTTGCCACTGTTTGGGTTAGACTTTGGGCAGAGATTCCATCGACCCTTGTCCCGTCTTCGCTTCAAAAGTGCTCTTCCACTTGTAGTACGCATCCGCCTTCGAAATCCATGTGTTCGTGCTAAAGACTTTCTAGACCTATTCCTCTTGGTTTGACAAAGAGTATATTTCCCTGCCCTTATCACTAATCCAGCCCTTCTACTTCTGCTCAATCCTTCACCCTTGCCATTGAAGTCCAACCCTAGTGACAAACCTACAAAATTTTATTACCCAGTCAATTTTTCGTCACTAAGTGTTTCCAAGTCATCCACGGCAAAATATTTCAATATTTATAAATCCATGAAATGCTAAAAGAAAAAAGAATGAAAACTGTGCATAGGAGAAAAGAAGAAGAGTCCACACGAAGGATCTTTTCAATTTCATTCTGCAACTCCATACACCATATGATGATATGAGTACTACATAAATTAGATTTAACATATGAGCAAACCACTACTAAAAAGCCACCTACTAATTCAATCTCATAACCAAATAATAATAATATAGTACTACTAAAAGAACGCACGACTACAATGGTTCTTTTCATCAATATCATCCCAGCGTTTGTTGCAGTACAAAATACTCTCCCTCAATGAGATTTTGCGCCTAATAAAATTTATTAAAACAAATGCAAATATAATCTTTTTTTACAAAAGATAAATATATAGTTAACTTCAAAAAATATACAACATCCAAAGGGCATCCCCTCGTAAGTTTAAGCATCACAAAAACAAACACTACTTAAGCATCAAATCAAGGAATTTAAACATTACACCATTGGTGTAGAAGCCAAAAACCTTCCAGTTTTCACATAATTCCTCACTAAACAGCAAACCAGAAAACCAGTAGACTATCCGATGTAAATATAATCTCTTTTGACTTTAATCGTATAGTATTATAATCTCTTTCTTGTCTTTATCCAATCATGTTGAAGAGCGGAAGTCTTAGGGTACGTTTGGAACACATAAAATGCTAGGGAAAAATATTATGGAGGAAAATATAGCAGGAATTTTGAAGAAAAAAATAAGTTGGGGAAAATAAACATTGGAAAAATACCTATATATGAGTAAAACTCATGCCAATTGCTAAAATATGGCCATGCATGTTTCTTTCTCAGTATATGACTTAATATGTATGGAATGAAATAAGAAAAATGAAACACTCAGTGTTATGGTACATGCGATTTGGCATTCTTTTAGGGGGGGGGGGGGGGGGGGGGAGATACAAGTCATATTTTGGGAAAGACACAATGTTTTAATCATATAAGGGGTTATTTTTTCATAAAGCATTGGTTCAGATTTCACACACAATCCATTTACTTTCTATATGTTTTCCAAATTATTGTTTTTTTATTTCTATCATAAATACTAGACAATTCAAACATATGTAAACAATGAAAACATTAATCATATTTTATTTTCCAAGGTAACCCCATAGGCCCAAACACAAAAGGACAGCTCTCATCATCATTTCTTTCCCTAGTATTTTCTGGGATCCAAACATAGCCTTAGAATCAGGAGAAAGCTAACTAAACTGCTCAAGGTAATCGTGATCTAGGGTTGAATCTAAAAGCGCAGTATTGGGGAATTTTGGTCAATTTTCAAAGATTTCAAAGAAATCTAATCAAACAGTCTCCTGGTTCAATGAAAATTTAGTATTATGTAAATAACAAACATTTACCTAAGTTTGTGATAATAAACGGAATAGATAACTCCTTGACATGAATAAAGAAGAACCTGGAAATCGAATATTGAACAAAATTACTTTAATTGGGGTATATGCCTTCGTTACCTGAGAAAGAGGAAGCTGATGGGGTAGAAGCAGAAGGAGAATTGGAGAGAAAGGAGCAGTGGAGGATTCCGGAAGAAGAATTGGGGTTGAGGGCAGTGGCTTTCAGAGAGAAGATGTGTGAAGCTGGTGTTCTTGAACCAGAGATGAGCGGGAGTGAAGCTGCAGAGGGTCCTGACCTTTGTCCAACCCCTGCGCAAAGCCACGTTCCTATTGCAAAGGCGGCCATTGTTTGATTTGTTTCTTCTTCCCCAAATCCTCACTAGCTAGTGGCTACAGAGTACAGACCAAGTCTGAGGATTTCGGGGATTTCGGGCTTTCCAGCCTTATCCTGTTATTATTAGGAGTGTTATTACTAGTGGTTCGATAGGGTATACCTAGTATATTTTCTCTCCCGTACCAAAACTTTCGGTATACAAAATTCACATACCGTTAACTTACCGAAGTTTCGGTATACCGTATTTCGGTATATTAAAGTTTCGGTTCGGTAACGGTGCGGTATCGGTGAATTACCATGCATGTCTCACAATACAACAAATTATCATAGACTAATAAAATATACGGAGTATTAAATTGGTGTTACTAGCGACAAATTTAATCTATTATTAAAATGTTGCAAAATTTAATTAATAATCTATTGATGTCATATTCAATATTGAACAATAATTAATATTAGTATATTTAAACAGTTCAACATGTCATATATTAAAAAACTAACACATTCTCCTAAAAAACTTGAACAATATAGATAAAATTAAATGAATAGTGATTTCTAACAAAACTAAATAAAATTATTCAAACAACATAGATATTGTGTATCTAGTCATTTTTATAATTTTTAAAAAAATATTTGAAATAGACTTTCGGACAAAGTTGTGTGTCTTGACTCACAGAATCCCTACGTAGATACACCCGCCACATAAGTGTATCCCTCTTAAAGCTGATGGAACAAGATGGACTGGTTTCTGAAAATGAGTACATTACTTATTAGTCATTAAAGTTAGTTTATTTGAATGTTACGTAGTAGAAGTCTAGAAGGTTATAGCAAGTTTGGAAATTGGGCCTTCTTTTTGTATTTTAGTATTTGTAAGTTGTAACCAACCTAAGAATGAACTTTTACAATTTAAAATAATTGTTAGGTAGGGAGTCGGTACGGTAGTATATCGGTATACTGTGGTATTTGAAAACATTTACCATTACCGTATCGAAATAAATCGGTACGGTATGATACCGTACCGAAAATGACGGTATACCAATATTCCGGTATTTTCCGGTATTTTTCGGTACGGTAAGTGCGGCATAGCGATTTTTCGGTATATTTGCTCACCCCTAATTATTATTGGGTACTAGTCAATAACTCAATACTTTTTAAATTATTGGGTTATTTTATTCATAAAATAATTTATTTGATGGTTAATGATATGTATAAACTTTTAAATTGAAGATAGAATATTTTACATAAAATTGTAATAAAAATAAACTTAGGTAATTTCGAAAAATGATTTAACCCTTATAAGATTAAAATGAGCATTCTGTAGTTTTTTTTTTAATTTTTGATATAATGAATGTGATAACAATTAATATTATTTCATAGTATATATTACTACCTCCGTCCCAGGGATAAGTTCCCACTTTTCTTTTTTGGCAGTCCCAACAAGAAGTTCCCATTTCCCTAAATGGAAAGTTATCTTACATCAAAACAGTGTCAAACAGTGCAAAACAGTGCCAAATAGTGTTGAAACAGTGCAAAACAGTGTCGAAACAGTGCCAAACAGTAAAATTTACCCCTCAGTAACTTTATTTCCTTAATATGTGTGAAAGTCAACCCGGGAACTTCTCCCTGGGACGGAGGGAGTATTTGTGATAATTATGATACAATGATATAAAGTACGATCTATTTTATCTCAAGATAGAAAGTCAATAGTGATACCCAACAAATGTCCATATTTCTTTTTTATAAATGAATATAAATGGGAAAACTGTCAAATAGGTCCCTGTACTTTGTCAAAAAAGTCAATTAAGTCCTTATACTATAAAATCATTCAATTAAATCCCTAAAGTATAAAAAACACCCAATTGAGCCTCTTAGGCAGTCACCAACAAGTTAGCAGGTCACATGGTTGACGTGGATGTTGACCTGGCCTAAATCTTTCGAGATGGTATTTTTTTTCATCTTTCTCCATTTTCAAAGGGAAGGGATTTCTTGATTTCCATTTTTTTTACCAACCTAATTCGAGCCTAGTACTCAGTATACCCTTCATCGCAAACCTCAATAGGATTCCTCCTTTGCAGGTACAACTTTGAAGAAGTTCGGATCTGAAGACTGTGGGTCCGATTTCCATCAACACCGCTCCAATCGCCATATCCATCGTTTCAAGTTCAGGGAAGAACTTCTTCAATGATCCTGGTTTTACCATAGTCAAATGCTTCTTTTCCTGTCTCCACCGCCATCGTCGACGTCATCTGGTTTAGTCTCCACCACCATCACCAACATCTTATGCTTTAGTCACCACTGCTGGTGTCCTGCGATTTAATAAGAAGTAGCGATTTCATAAGAAGATGAATAGTCCTCCTATGATTTGCTACATACGATCTGTAATTTTAACAAATTTATTCCTTGAGATAGAAAATGAAATAGAAGAAGTTAGAGAAGATGTAAAGAGAATCGAGAAAGACGGAAAAAAATTGGGTAACAATGGTTGCTGACTGGTGAGGCACCGTTGATGGTGAAAGAAAATGAAAATGAAAATGGTGCGGTAACGAAAGTTGATGGTGAATGACTGAACGGCCAGCCTGGAAAAATTAGGCCACGTCAACCTCCACTTCAACAATGTGACCGGCTAACCTGTTGGTGAGTGCCAAAATGGCTGAATTGGGTGTTTTTCTATAGTTAGAGGATTTGATTGGGTGATTATATAGTACAAGGACTTAATTGACGTTTTTGATATACTAGAGGGACCTATTTGACAGTTTTCCCAATATAAATATACATTGAAATTCTGAACAAATGTCCATATTTATTTTCTATAAATGTCTCCTTTATTTTTTAACTATCAAATGTCTCCTTTATTTTTTATAGAAAAAGAAATGAAAAAAAAAGAACATATTTTCACATTTTATTATATGTGTGTGTGTGGAGCACAACGAGACGGTCAAGGGGGGAAATGAAAAGCTCCATATCATAAATAATTAAAGATGGTGAAATCGGTGGTCAATAGAGCAAATGTGAAGGTATAAGTAAACATGATTCTGTAATTACTTTTGCATATCATAGTTGCGTATCCAACTGCATACACTTTTTTTAATATTATTATGTGTTTATTATTGCATTCTCGTCACCGGTAGGCATTTGATAGATTTGGGCCATTTGGCAGAAAATTAATCCTTTTCTTCTTTGGGATTCACGGACAAATTGTAAGATGTTAGCTCAGACCATCTCCAATGGGATGTCTTATGTTTAGTCTCTTATAAGTGTCTCATTTTTATCTCACTAGTTTTATGTGTAAGACCTATATATCACCATATTTAATTTACTTTTTTATAGAAAAACAAATAAAAAAAATAAAAACAAATCTCCACATTTATTGTGTGTGTGTGGGGAGCACAATGAGGCGGTCAGGCGAGAAAATATAAAGTTTACTGTGGTGACCGGGCTAAACTTGCAAGTGTACAAGTGCCGATATAGTAATAAATTCCGGTAAAATACCGGGTCGAATCCACAGGGAAACGTTGTTTAATTTAGTCCGCGAGTAGATGACTTTGAATAAGTAAATGCATAAAGTGCAGGGATTTTGAGTTGTGTGTTGTTGTGAAAACAACAACTTGGTTCTTCTTTTTAATTTTCAGAGATATAACTTGAATTAATTTGATTAAAGTGATTGATAACAACAACTAAGGCTTCGGGAATCACTTAAATGCTTTAATAGGGTTGAATATTAGTTCTTTACCAATAATTATGAATACGATGTCGCTAATATATTCTCAACTCCGGTTAAGGCAGCGAGAGCGTGGTTTTCGTTACGTGTAAGTCCCGTTACGGCTTACATTCATCTACCGAAAACCCCGTTGAATATCAAGACATCACACTCGTATCATATAATACCGGATATATTTCTATTCTCAGTAATATATATGTTTATCCTTTAATGTTCATAGTTTAGACCTCAACGTTAATTGCAAGCATAAACTAAGTTTAACATACTTCTATGTTGTACACCATAGTCATAAACAATCAAAATGTAAGGGATAAATCACAATTTATTGGTTTAGAACTTTTATCAAACACCTAGTGGGCACAGAAGTTCATCCCTAGCCTTAGCTAAGAACTTAGCCTCTAATGCTCATATTAATTACAAAAGTGTAACTAAGATAAAGGAAATACAATAACATACAAGAAATAATACCTAGAACCAATTGTAGATGAGAGAAATGGCTTCTTCTCCAACACTTCAAGAAAATGCAAAAAGGAAATATAAAAACTGAAATTTAATCTTCAAGAATGGAATGATGATCTTGTTTGATGAATTTGGGGCTTTATATAGGCTAAAGATTGGCATCTTTTAGTCTATTCGAGCCCAACAATCAGGCATGGAAGATATATTTGATCAGATCATGAGGAAGGTGAGTTTTTCCCATCAAGATATGGCTGCACGTCTCTTTGTATTCTGCAGATTCGGGCTTAACCGGCGCCGGTTTTAGGCTTGACCGGCGTCGGTTTTACTTCGGGGCTGAAATAATACTGAAAAACACCATAACCGGCGCCGGTTATAGGGTAAAACCGGCGCCGGTTATACGTCGGCCAACCGGGAAAATGGCAGATTAAATGCAACCGGCGCTGGTTTGGTGAAATTCCGGCGCCGGTTTTGTCCTGGGATTTTGGGGATGTTCCGCTACGAATTTGGACATGAGTCCTTCACCAAAGTTGTAGATAATGAAGTCGTCTATCCACCAAAACTTGAATGACGTGATTTTATTCATCCAATCAAACGTTATGGCTAAAACACTGAGAGGTATGCATCCTGAAATCCCACCAGAAACATCTGACTTTGTTGGTTGATTGAGTCTTGTTCCTTTCATATTTTAGCCATGACGTCTTCGTAACATTTGTACCTTATTGAGTTAGCATTCACATGAAACTCGAATCGAGTGATTTCGAGTTCTATAGAATACGTTATACTCAAATTATGGGCAGAACGTCATTCTCTTGGTCTAAAAAGTCGTTCATCGCAATGTTTTATGCTCTAGCTCTCATTTTGGAGGTATTTGCCCGATTTCTCTTCCTTTCTTCAACAAATACTTATAAATACTTATGTTAAACACAAGTAAATATAA